ATCAAGATACAGTACAGTATTATGATATGACCCAAAAGTGGGGGGAAATTTCAAAAAAAAAAAAAAAAAAAAGAGTGAGAACAAATTAGAGTCCTGCTCTGAAAACTGGGTTGGTTGCTCAAACATCCTAGAAGAAACCAACTAAAATAAATTTAACATTAGACTTACCACAAGTCCAAACTAATAAATGATAAATTTGGCATTCCTTACATGTCCTGTACTGATGGCTGCTGGAAGAGGAAGATGTAACTGGGTTTTTCCCTTTATGGAGGTGACAGGGAGGTAAGAGGGACAATAAAATGAAGCAGGACAGGACTAAGGTAAGTGTAATAAAATGTCCTGGTGATGATGAAGCCAGATGAAGTTCCAAGTTTATTGGGGGAAATATGGCTCAAAGAGTCATACTATCAAGAAAGCTTCCATCAGAGCCATGTTTAAAGACCAGTAAAAAGTATCTAAACAGCTGGTAAAGGTGCTTGCTGCACAAACCTGATGACCTGAATTTGGTCCCAGGATCCTATGGTGAAAAGAGAAAAACAACTGCCAAAAATTGTCCTCTGACTTTCAGATGCATACTATGGTAGGCTGTGTGTGTCCCCACTCACACAAAAATTATAAATAAAAATTATCCAGTCAGGAAAGGAGAGAGTTTTTCCAGGCAGAGGGAACAAAACATTCCAAGCCAGGTTCCACTATAAGCTTATGAGGAACTATTAAGGGATGATACTCTACAGGGTGCTTAGAGAGAAACTTAAAACTCTTCCCAGCTCACAGCCACTCACAACCAACTGGAGGCAACAGTTAATATCCTTGGAAAAATTAAAGAACTTAAATCACCCTGGGAGAAACAGTGTCAGATTTGTATAAGGGATTACATAATGAACTGTTCCTGTTGAGTGTGTTAGGAGTGCAGAACCCTGAGACCCTCTTCATTCACCCGCTACCCCCAATCCCTCTAGACCCCCACTAATTGCTCTTTTAGCTTCTGTAAAATGCTTGACTGCTGCTTTAGACATGCCTAAACATGCTCTGACTCCCACCTGCTATTCCCTCCCCCTTCCAGGAAACTATAGATTAACCAAGCCCAAGCATAAAAACTTCCCTATAAGGTAAAAACGGAGACTCCTGGCCCCACAGGTAACAGTCAGCACATTCCAGAGCCCTGAGAATAGCACCTACCAATAAGAAACTTCCAGGGCTGCATCTTATACATCCAATCGGTTTAAAATTATATTGGCACGTGCAGGCTCCTTGAATGAACCAAAATGTATCTTCGGTATCTCCCCCCACACACACTTTTTGTCTAAACCTATAAAAGGCTCCACTCTCCCTTACTCTGGGCTCTCAGCATGGATCCGTTGAGTTGGTGAGGTCTGAGAGCCCGAGCTTAAGCCCGAATAAACCATAAACCTTTGCTTTTGCATTTTGGTGTGTTGGGTTCTCAGTAGTCTCTCTGGGGTCCAGTGGATGGGGTACAACAGGAGGTGCTCCTGGCTTCCTGGGTTTGAATCCTGGGACTGCCACTATGTGGCCTTGGGTTATTTCCTCCCTGCTCTGAAATGTCTTCATCTGTACAATGTGGCTGTTTTGATACTGTCTGATAACAGATAAAACAGTGAGAACATCCTGACAAGGGAAGCACAGGAGACACTTTTCCTTTTAGTTGTTCTTTTTTTTAAAAAAAAAATTAGGTGGTTAGATGTCTTTCCATAAGGTCTACAGATAACAGCTACAAATAAAAAAAAAAGTGGCTTATGGGGTAATTTTTAGTTCCTCTTCTGCCTGTTGCTGCTGTTAACATAAAACCTGACTTTTCATTTAGGAGACTGTAGACTGGTACACATTCCAGAGAGCAGTACAATCTACAACTCTTTGCATTCAAACTTAGGTGACTTTTGTGTTTGCTGTGACACTGCTTTAGAACATAGGGAAGAACATGAGGATGGTTAGCATGCCTCTTGAGACCTTGGAGCAGAAAGGGAGAGACAGACAGATAGACTATGTCCCTGCCAGTCTATGGTGCCTTGACAGACCAAAGAAAGACTAGATTCCACTCTGTGATTCCCTAAGACTAAAGCCTGGATGGAATAATTGAGGAGTCTAAGAAGAAATTCTCAGCAACAGTTTTTCATCCTAGAGGCACTACTGATTCAGTCTGAAGCCAAACTACTTGTGAGATTTGTTCCCCCCTGAAATGCCAGGTCAAGTCTTCTGTGTAAGCCCCTAGTAACACCTTTTAGTTGAACTATATTTGAGATTTTTCGTAGATGGAAGGAAGTTCTAACCATATGTGAAAGCAGTTCTAAAAGTTTGTCACTTCCCTTCATTCCATCACCTCCCTCCAGTCCCTTCTCTTCCTCTTCCTCCTAATTGGTCCTGCTATGGAGCAAACCTAAGGCCTTGCCCACACTAGGAAAGCACTCCATCACTGAGCTACATTCTCAGCCTTTCCTTTTCTTTCCTTCATTTGAATTCAAGTCATCAGGCTTGGAGACAAGTGCCTTTACTGCTGAGCCATCTCACCAGCCCATAACCTTTCTTTTTATAATAGCTTCGTTGAGATATTCTCATATAGGCAGTTCATCAGTTGACTATACAACTCAGTGATTTTTAGCATATTCAC